CCAAAATGACTGGGGAACATTCGTGCCAATGCAGATTGCTCTGGCTAAGTCAATGATGTGGCGATTCTTTCTCTCAGAACGACCATTCTGTTGAGGAGTTTTAACATTAGCCATTTGATACTCAATCCCAAATTCTGTACATAACCGTTGTACCTCCCCATAAGCGTACTCTGTACCCTGGTCAGATCGGAATTTTTTAATGGTACGACCAAATTGAGTCTGAACCATTGTCATAAAATTTTTAAAAATGGTGTATACCTCATTTTTGGTTTTCATAAGATAAACCCAAGTAACACGACTATGATCATCAATGAACAACGCGAAATATCGAAATCCAAGACTAGAAGTAACTGGGCAAGGACCCCACACATCTGAATGAACAAGATCAAAAGGTGTTAAAGCAGATTTATTACTACTAGTAGGATAATTGGAACGAACATGGTTAGCCATATGACATGTTTCACAGGATAAATCTGACACTGCCACGTTACAAAATAAGGAAGGAAATAAATGTTTCAAATAACCAAAAGAAATATGTCCTAAACGCATGTGCCAACGCATAAGCTGGGCTTTATTAGATGAAACAATATTAGAAAATGAAGCTGAATGTGCTTGCGGTGACAAAGGAGCATCCAACAGGTATAAACCGTCCACTTCACGCCCACTGCCAATCGTCCGTTTCGACACCAGATCCTGAAAAATACAATTAGAGGGAAAGAACGTTACACTACAATTTAATTGTTTGGTAACGCCACTAACAGAAATAAGATTTGTAGTCAACTTTGGAACATAAAGTGTATTTGACAAAGTTAATGAAGGAGTAACTGATATGTGACCCTTCCCAGCAATGGAAGATGGAGAGCCATCCACAAGGTGGACCTTGCGTTGGCCAGAGCAGATACTATAAGATTAGAAGAGTGAGAACATACCAGTCATATTGTTTGAAGCACCAGAATCAGTGATCCATGGTGTTGAAGTTGTAGATACGCTATGTGCAGACGCAATAGTACTTGAGTGGGCATAAGTAGAGGTTGGCTGAGATGATGCCTCCATTTGGTTGAAGAATTGCTTGAACTTGTCCAAATCAACTTGAGTCAAGGTAACTGTGGCAGAAGATGTAAAGGCAGGGTTGTCAGGAGTTGACAACGAGACTGGTTGTGTAATAGAATGTGCAGAGGATCGAGGCTGTTGTTTCTGTTGCGGTGGACGTCCTTGTAGAGCATAACAACGAGATTTGATGTGACCAATTTTTCCGCAATGGTCACACCGTCCATGTTGTCGTCCCAGAGGAGGACCGGTGGTAGTGCTCTGAACTGACTGGGATGGTGAAGTTCCTGAAAGGTTGGGAATCCGAACTGCCATAGCAGAACGATCAACAGAAGCAACACCTAATGGATGAGTCCGGCGGCTCTCATCTGACAACACATAGGAATATGTATCCTCAAGAGTAGGGAATGAAGATATGCCCAATAAATGAACACGAGCATACTCAAACTCTTCATTAAACCCGGCAAGAAACTGAAACACTCGATTCTTCTCCACAATTCCTGCATATAAAACTGCATCATCTGGATCCTTCCAAGAGTGGAAGGAATCATAATATGACATCTCCTCCCAAATAGCACAAAGCTTGGCGTTGTAACTTGAAACTGTCAAGTCACCCTGAAAAATCCTGGTGATATCTCGCCCCAATTGGAAAATTCGTGCATTATTCTGCCTCTGAGAATAAGTGCGTTGAACTGAATCCCAAATCTGTTTAGCAGTCTTCATAAACATATAGCCAACAGCTATGTTTGTTTGCATCGAATTGACTAGCCAAGACATAACCATAGCTTTATCTGCAAACCATTGTGGATATGCCTTCTCTGACTCAGCTAGCTCTTTCTCAGAACCAGTAATATAGCCAATCTTGCCTTTGCCACCAATGAACATCTTGGCAGACTTTGCCCAAATCAAATAGTTGGAACCATCCAACTTCACTGTGGTGATTTGAAGTCCTGGATTTTCTGATGAGTTGGTGGGAAAAATGGCACCACCACCCACAGAACGTGAGCTTAGAGAATTAACAGTCGAGGACCCTGAATCTGCCATAATCTGTCACACGACAATAAAAAGAACTCCAAAAACACCACAAATGCTTTTAATAAATCAAAGGGTCTCTTTAGACCATAAACAATGTCTCCTCAGACCATTCCTGAAAAATCCGAATACATACCTTTTTTAAGGAATGCTGGCTGCTTACATATAGCCAGACAGCCTCCTTCTTAATATTCGGAACCTCTTTGTAAACTAAATTTTTTTTTTTACCCAAACCCTTCTAGGTGTTGGAAACCAACTATCCCAATTTACCCAACTCTAGAAGAGTGAAAGAGAAATTGTAAAACTTAAAAATACCTGTTTTTGATCACAAAACAGCAACACAGAAAAACATGTGTGGGCAACGTCACACGATGTCACAAACAGCCTAAGGTAGCTGTCGCACAAGTAGCAAGGCTGCTGAAAGGTGTGGAAAGGTGTTGGTTCTGATACCAAGTAGAAATATATAAAAAGAAGAGAAAAGAGAGAATTTCGTAAAGGCTTGAATGAGATGAATTACCCATTCACAGCTCTAGTATTTATAGATAAAATGAGCACATGCTCATATTACAAGAAAGGAAACTAAATCAAATCATTGCATATTCTATGCCTAGACATATGCGTAAATAAAGTCAAATACATGATTTGTAGCTATCATATCTTATAGATAATATGGTAAATCACATCCCATGATTTGGGCCTATCATATCTCGGCTATTATGGTAAGTTATACCATAAATCGTCGTATCATAAATGCTAACAGATACACCTATATACAGAGAGAGATACCAAAGGTTGGTTGGGAAGCTAATATATCGGGCACATACTCGCCCTGACATAGCATATGCGGTGAGTGTAGTAAGTCAGTTCATGCATGCTCACAAGATTCTCAGGTATTTAAAATCAACTCCTGGGAAAGGTCTGCTATTCTCCAATCATGGTCATCTCAAAGTGGAAGAATATAGAGATGCTGATTGGGCAGGATGTGTAATAGATAGAAGATCAACTTCAGGATACTGCACCTTTGTGGGAGGGAATCTAGTCACGTGGTGTAGTTAGAAACAATCTGTTGTGGTCAGATCCAGTGCTAAAGCAGAATTTAGAGCCATGGCTCATGGTATATGCGAGATGTTTGCTGAAGGCTATGTTAAAGGAGCTGATCTTTAATTCTAGGGATCCAATGATGCTTTTTTGTGATAACAAAGCTGCCATTAACATTGCTCACAATCCAGTTCAGCATGATCGTACTAAACATGTTGAAGTGGATAGACACTTTATCAAAGAGAAGTTGATAGGTGGATTAATTTGCACTCCGTTTGTGAAGACAGAACATCAGCTTGCAGATTTTTTGACAAAGGGAGTGTCAAGTACGACCTTCAATTTCGCACTTGACAAGCTAGGCATTTGAGACATCTATGCTCCAGCTTGAGGGGGAGTGTTGGAAGATATATATTATTTCCCTTGATTTTAGGGATTTGATTGATTTCTGACTATTGTAAATTAGGACAGATTGATTGCAGTAAAATAGGATAGATTGATTGCTTTAAATTAGGAACAGATTTGTAGGAATATTTTTTATTCTTTTCCTTGTATAGCTTTCCCTATTTCCTATATATACTTGTACCTATATATACTTGTACAAGATGTTAATGTTAATATATGAGGCATAATATTTTACGGACAGAATTTCTACACTGTGATCTCTGTTTTCTTCGGTGATCGTCGGACGATTGGCAAATTGGCAGTGAGAGTCTAGTGATACAATCGTGGTTATCGTGAGAGAGAGAAGTTTTTTCCTGGTCGACTTTTACAGGTGAATTTTTTTTTTTTTTTGGTCATTTGGAGCTCAACAACTTTGTTAAATGGCTGACAAACTCCAGGCTTAAAAATTCCATGTAAATCCTTGCCCAAGGCCGTCATAATTGTAACTAAAATGTTATTGAGAGTAATTATGGGGTTAAGGATAACATCGTCAATTCAGAACTGCATTAGTTGTTAATGGAATTTTAAAAAATGCATTCATTCTTTTTCTTTCAAATTCCTTCCATTAAAGTTCTTTCTTTTTCTTTCAGATTCCTTCCATTAAAGTTCTTTCTGTCAAGACCTTCCCTTCAAAGAACTTTCACAACCTGCAAGCTCCCCAACGCACTATCTAAATGTCCATCCAACTTTTATTAATTTGTATTTTTTCTATCATAAGATCATATACTAACACAAAGTGTCCCTTATCAAAAGAATATATATACACACACACACACACCAACACAAAGTGTAGTTTACCTTATTATCATCAATCCAAACTTCTGATGTGTCAACCTTACATATTAGCATTAATCCATAATTTTTCTTATCTAACAGTTATTCGGTTTGGGAGTTTATATCACAAATTTTCATAACTTCTTCTAGCTACTTATGCATGTTGTCTATTAATTCCATTACTTTACCTTCCTAATCCAGGCCTACTATATTGGACTGTCATCTTTTCTCGCTGTCACATTCTCACAAGAAAAATTTATAGGAACCCAAGTCCACATTTCACAGGATTGGGACGTTGATTCAGTGTCCCTTATTCATTTATCGAACCACCTGAGACTGAGTGAATTGAGTGAGGGAACATGTCAGTAAAGAAGCAGACTATTATTTACTTAAATATTTTCAGGATTCATATTTACATACATTGTGTGGATACTTTCAAATTCGTATCTGTATGCATTTGTATGTGATTTATCAATTTAGGATGCTGCTCCATGCCCCCATTAGTTGGATGGTCTTAACAATATATATATATATATATATATATATTATTTTATTTGTGGGAAAAGGACAGCCTTAACATTTGTATTAGATTAGAAAGCGTTGTATATGATATTCATATTTCATCTGCTAAGCGCGTGAATTTGTGGCATGCTTCACTGATTATCCAGGAAAAATTGAAGGATAGAGAGAGAGAATTACGGAAGCGAAAGGAAAGAGAAGAACAAGAAGTGGAGAGAATGCGGTCAAAAGCTCGCAGAAAGGAGGCAGTTGAATCTTATCAAGCTTTGCTTGTGGAAACAATTAAGGACCCTCAGGTATGATCATTCTATTACTGATTTAACAATTTGTCATGGTATTAGCATTGATATCTGCAGTACTTTGTATATATATATATGCATAACCCTATATAGTTGAGGTACTGGAAGCAACATGATAATTCTTAGATTTATGATAGTCCCGGGATTAGAATTTTCACTTCTTTGTTTCTATTATTGTACTTAGGCATCTTGGACAGATTCAAAGTCTAAATTGGAAAAGGATCCTCAAGGACGTGCAACCAATCCTTTCTTAGATCAATCTGACCTAGAAAAGTTTTTCCGAGAACATGTTAAGATATTGCATGAGGTAAGTTTACACTTTCTGACATCTCACTCATTTAATAATGCATGTTATTTAATGGTGTCTTGTTGAATGCCTTTTTTGTTCTCAGTGTACCTTTGTCTGTTTGAACATAAACAAACCATAGTATGGTAAAGCAGCATCATCTTGGTTGCTGTCCTCATATATCTAGCATTACCATTAATTAATTTGCTTTTGGTTCTAGAGGATTATCTTTTGTGGCATAATCATTGCAATAAAAATGCATTTTTCGTAGAACTATAGAAGTTACTTTGAGATATAAAAAATAGAAAATGCATTTAACTCTGAATCTGCTTTATCCATAATTATATATGCAGTATTTCCTTTTACAAAGCTGAAATCGTATCACGTCATTTTGTTTTATTTTTCAAGAAAATAAAAAAAACATATGATTCATCTTTGCAGTTTTGCTTGCCTTTTCAGGGATTATATGTAATGTGGTAGCCAACTTGATGCAAAGCATGCTAACTATATTAGAGTTGAATTTGGAGGTCCATAAAGACTTACTTGGGACCTTATACAATCAAGTTTTGGTTTTAGTTAGGTCTGCTGTTGGTATAGTTTTGCTTATGTCTACAAATGATTTTTGTAGACAATTTTATTAGTTTCATGACGTAGGTTTGGCTATGGCATTGCCCATGGATTAAGTTTTTCAGTTCATGGGTTATCATTTTAGGTCTTCATATTTGGCCTCAAGCAAGTGTAGATTAGTTTTGTCCCTCTGAAGTTCAAGGATTTCTGAATTTGAGTTCCTTGTTCTGATGATTGGAGTCAACTATCTGTTTATTCTTCAACTTTAGTAGAGATTTTAGTTGATTGAAAGTTCTAAAACCAGATCGAATCAGCAGAAGAGACCTTGGGCTGTCAGGTATCTAGTAATTATTCTAAACTAAGAATCATTTTTTTGTTCAAATTTGTATGGTCCAATGGAGAGCCATCAATCCATTTGTCCTATTCACGTTTCAGTGAAACCTTATGGAGTTATGGGTCTTCGACACCATATAAGAGGGTACAAAATTCTAAGGGCATTAGTGTTTCCCACATATCTCAAAGTCTCCTTTCAGTTATGTCATATGCACCATTCTGGGAAATGAAAAATGCTCATGCATTTTGCTAACTTGGTTCCCTTTTATTCTGGTGGTCCATAACACCAGTGAGCTTATGTCAATTTGATATTTTAGCTTATGTACATCAACATGCTTAACTTAACAAGGGCTATATCCAATCATGTTGTACACATACCATGCCAACTTCATTATCACAAGCATTTAAAAATTTCCTCATTTAGAGCATATGCTTCCACATACAATTTTAACATACAAGATTGTTGTATATTATCATACAATCATGCTTTTCAATTTCCACATAAATGGCATATTTTTTTACACAACATAACATTTCATAAGCATGTTATAATTAAAATTTCCACATGGCAAAGCAATTGATTAAATTGTGGCTTTCATAGCATATAAATAAATATAATTGACGCATAGAAGCCCACAATTAACCTAGGACTCCATAAATTAGACACCCCTACCTCAAATTAGGGTGAAAACCCTATCCCGCCAAAACCAAAGTGCTCCTCTCGCAAATCCGACTCCGTAGGATGAAAGAGGAGGCAAAGGAGAGCAAGAAGTCCTTCTACGGCGCCTCCAAAATCCCAACTTCTCCCTCACCCCAAATCCTCAAAATGCTCCTATTGAAATTCCGAAACCATAGCCACGCTGAAATTCCGAAACCATAGCCACGTAGCTCTCGTCGAGCTCGTCACTTTTCCCTTCTACGGCGTTGCCAAAATCCCACCCGAGCTAGGTCAGATTTAGGATTGAAACATGAAAAATGAAAAGAAAAGAAAAAGGAAAGGAAAAGGTGAGGGGCAGAGAGTTTAACGCAAAGAGAGAGAGAAGATGAAATGAAGATTGTGGCCAAAAAAAAAAGTCAAGGCCCCCTTTTTATACTTAAGTCCCAACTGTGGTCCCGCCTCCCACTGAAATGCTTAAAACAGCCTGTTTGACCTCCAGACAGTCGCAAACAACTCAACGCAGTGCAAAACGGATAAAACTAATTTAAACGAAGAACATAGCGATATCGAAAAATTTCCGAACATGGATATCCGCCATGGGACCAACCCGAAACCTCTCGGGCGTGAAAATCGAAACTGACTGAAATGATCCCAAATGAGTTTCTAAGGGTTCTAAACCCAAAGAAACATCTCACACAACCTCCGGAACACCATGGCATGCATCCCCGTGCCCAAATAAAAATAAAAATAAAAGAAAAGAAAAATGCCCGAAAAATCAGAAAAATCTGTAACATTACACTGACTAATCACACTAACAGCGCAGGCAATATCCGAGCGCGTGACAGATAAGTAAATCAATCTCCCAACCAATCGCTAAAATCTTCCCACATCATCTAATGATTCTAATGCGTCTCCATCTACATCATTAAGCCTATGGTTCTGCTCAATGGGAATATCAATAGGTTTAGCTTCAAGCCTGCCTGTTTCAGCCAACAAATCTAACACATGCTTCCGTTGAGAAATGAACACCCCTTTCTTCGATCTGCACACCTCGATGCCAAGAAAGTTTCTCAATGATCCGAGGCCCCATTAAAGACTTCATTCGACGAATCTCTTCTGGATCATTTCTAGTGATAACAATATCATCAACATATACAATAAGGGCAGCGGTGTCAGCCCCAGCCCTGGTGCTTCTTGATGAAGCGGGTATGATTTGCCTGACTCTATGTGTACCCTACTCTTTTCACAGCAATGCTGAACCTCTCAAACCAAACACATGGCTATTGCTTTAACCCATACAAAGCTTCATTTAGCTTGCACACTAACTTCTGACCATTGGCAAGTTTCCCTGGTGGCATAGTCATATACACCTCTTCCTCTAAGTCACCATGAAGGAAAGTATTCTTTACATCCAGCTGATGTAAGGGCCAATTCAAATTAGCTGCCAAAGAAAGAAGAACACGTATAGAATTCATCTTGGCAACTGGAGCAAATGTTTCCAGATAATCAATTCCATAGGTTTGAGTGAAGCCCTTTGCAACTAACCGAGCTTTAATCTCTTAATTGTTCCGTCTGCATGATACTTTATTGTGTAGACTCATTTGCAGCCTACTAGTTTCTTACCCCTAGGTAATGGAACAATATCCCAAGTACCATTCTTCTTAAGGGTGTTCATTTATTCAAGTATAGCTTTCTTTCATGGAGTTTGACTGAGAGCCTGAAACACTAAAAGGAACATATACAGAGGGGATACACGAATTGAGAGCACGATATGTTGAAGATAAGGCATCATAGGATACAAACTTAGATATGGGATGCTTTGTACAGCTACGAACACCCTTACGATAGGCAATAGGGACATCAAGATTAACATGAATGCTATTGGGAAAAGAATTAGGAGTATCAATGTCAACTAAGGAATTACTTGGATCGAGGGAGACTTCTTGGTCCTAGGGTGAGTCAATAACTTGTTTTGCCCTCGTAGTGTAGACAATTTGTTGCTTTTCCTGTTGCAAATCATTAGTGTTAGGAGGACTAGACATAGGCACCTCAATAAGAAGCTCCCCCTGAATGGAAACAGGCAAAGGAAGGGGGCATTCTCTCTGAATGGACAACGGATTCTCTACTCTACCTCTATAGTAGTCTCCCCCTATAGAGAATCCCGAGCAGTGGAAAAAAAAAGAATAGACTCAAAGAATGTAACATCAATGGAGACAAAGCGATGACGAGTGGTAGGGTTACAACACCGATACCCTTTCAGAGTGGCGGAGTATTCAAGAAAGACACGTCGAATTGCCTTAGGGTCCATTTTGTCCTTACGATGATGAATGTGAACCTAACAAACACAACCAAACACTTTCGGAGGGACAGTAAACAAGGCAGTGTCATGGTGTAAGACAGAGGAGGGGGATTGATAGCCTAGAACCTTAGAAGGCATGCGATTGATAAGTTATGTAGCTGTTAAGGTTGCATCAGCCCAATAACTTTTAGGCACTCCCATCCTAATTAGAAGAGAACGGGTCACCTAGTGTTTTCTTTCAGCTACATTGTTCTGTTGTGGTTTATTGACACAAGAGATTTGATGGACAATCTCGTTATCAGTAAAAACAAGGAGGCAAGACCACCATACGTAAACTCTCCTCCATTTTCAGATCGAAAGATTTCAAGGGGACAACCAAACTGAGTACATACCATCCTATGAAAGGTTTTAAAAATAGAATGAACTTCATCTTTGGTTTTCATAAGATAAAGCCAATTATATCGACTAAAGTCATCAATAAACACGACAAAGTAAAGAAGAAGTAGATTTAGGACCCCACACATCAGAATGAACAAGTTGCAAAGGAGCTGTATTTTTATTAATACTAGTAGGATAAGAAGCACGACATTATTTGGCAAGAACGCATGTTTTACAATTTAACTCAAAAGATTCAACAGAAGCAAACTGGGGAAGCACATGCTTTAAAACAAGTAAATGACCTAGTCTATTATGCCATTGCATTAACAAATCTTTATTGACATTGCTATTCCTAACACTAGGTTGATTTGCAACATAATAAGAAGTTGGCCTCGCGTTCAACAAATCAAGCCATTGTCCTCACGTCTATTTCCAATCATCTTCCCCGTATCCAAGTCCTGAAACACATAGTGAGATGGAAAAAAGGTTACACTACAATTCAAGCCTTTTGTAATGTGACTGACAGAAAGGAGGTTATTGGTAAACTTTGGGACATGAAGAACAGAGGATAAGATAAGATTAGGAGAGGCAGAAACAGTGCCCTTCCCCGCAATGGAGGTGAAGGTGCCATCAGCCACTCTAACCTTATCCTTACCGGTCATGTAATCAATGGCTCCTGAATCAATGATCTAGGGTGGCCCGCCAGATAACGTGGGAACCTGATGTGCCAAATGAGAGGTACTTGTCTGAGCGAAGTTAGAGGTGGAAACGGAGGAATGTTGTGCTAGTAGATGTCGGAGAACATCAGTTCAGCCCCAGACAAAGAACTCGGTGGCCTTGAGGAGGCATGACCAGTAGAAGCAGGAGCTGGAGTAGGGCGACCGTGTAGATTCCAGCATGTTTCCCTAGTGTGGTGCTTACGCTCACAGTGATCACACCTCAACTTGCTTTTGTCATCCTGTTTCCCTCCTTTTGGAGGATTGGGCTTGTTACATTGTTGTGTGGCTACAGCAGACCTCTCAAGCAATGGTACTTCTGGCTTAGGCTAAGTGTATACAGGTGCAAACATAGCCTTGATTTTACTCTCCTCAGCCTAGATATACGAAAACACATCTCTAACAGAAGTAGGGGCTGCATACCTGCCTAACACTTCTACCTTGACATGCTCGTATCTCAGATGCAGACTGAAGTTACCAAAAATAGCTTGGGCTGGATACGACCCATCCTGCTAAAGAATGGGTCGGGAGAAAGCAATGGATCCAATCGGATAACAGCCCAAGAGGCCCAATCTCCATTAAGACGATCTCCAAGCCCAATTTCAAAGAGAATAAATGAACCAGCACGGAAAGAAAGGCCCAGAAGATCAGCCCAACATGGAGGATGAAAAAAGAAGCTTCTAGAACACTTGTAACAGTCTATAAATAGAATGAAAAGAGGGGGAAAAACGGTTGAGATATTTGGAGTGTAAGAAAACAATTTTCCAAATTGAGAGAACATTTTCCATTGCAACTTCAATGGTGCCGTCTGTGGGAAACGAAGAAGAGATCCAGTTGATCCTCAAGTACGTTGCGAGTAGATTGATCATTCTCTCGAAGAGTTAGGTTTGATATGCAAATATCAAGGTTGGACCATTGTATTATTGTATTTTTTACTCAATAACATACATGTTTTCATATATCTTCTCTCTCTCTCAAAACAATTCCCAACAGTAAAATAGGCTGATTCAAAACCATATGTTACTTATTGAATCCACAATTTTAATGATTTTACATGTATGTAATTTGTGCATTTCTTTTCTCAAAGTTATAGATTATGCATGTGCCTGTGTCGATGTAACTAATCTTTTGCGTGGTTTGCCTTTTTTAGCGGAGTGTATATGATTTCAGAGCTCTGTTAGCTGATGTTATAACAACAGAAACAGCAGCACAAGCAATGGAAGATGGTAAAACAATTCTTACTTCTTGGTCTACTGCTAAACGTCTTCTGAAGGCTGATCCTAGGTATGCAAAGATGCCAAGGAAAGAGAGGGAATCCCAGTGGCGTCGATATGCTGAGGATTTGCAGCGGAGGCTAAGGTTAGTGCTTGATCAAGAGGAAGAGAAGCTTACAGATGCAAGAAGTAGAAGTTCTATTGATTCCCGGAAATATCTGTCAGGATCAAGGCTGTCCCATGAACGAAGATAACTTTTTGCAGTGAGATACTAATCTTTCAATTGTTCTGTTGATTCTCGAACTTCTTTCATTTTTTCCGACTTCTGTAAGAACGTACTTTATTTTTTCTGGCAAGTAAGAACTAAGGCACCAACCTGACACACTCACCCACTTTGCCCCAATGGTGACTCGAACTCTCAACTACCCATATGGGGGATGAGGAGATACCACTTGAGCTAGAGGTTCAGTGGTGTTAAATTTCGTATTGTACAAGAGTTTTCAGGTACTTATCACCATGTTTTGCACCAAATATGTTTACACGTTTTTTTGCATGGCTGGTTTCCTTTGCCAATGGACCCCTACAGTTTTTCACCTGTTTTTTGCACAGCTGATTCTTAACTGATCTAATATACACCCCATGTACTCTCTATCTGCCTTAACTTTTTTTTTTTTTTCCTAGTTGGTACTCACACACATACCTCCACCGAGGTTCAAACCCCTTACCTCCTTTGGGAAGTAGGGGCCTGGTACCGATAGTGGTGCCTTAACTATAACTAATGAAATGTGTATCCCATGTACTATGTCTGCCTTAACTAATGGGTGAACTGCATTTAAGTTTCTTATTTTAATAAACAAAAATTGCATTTGATCATTTTGCTTTGACACTGTTGCTGAAAATGTTTCCTGCAATATCAGACATTTGGTCTCCTTATAAGTTGTTTTGCTGAATTTTTTGAAGAACTGAAAATAGCATATGATACATGGAAATGACTTGTGGGTAATATTTCTGCAAGTTGAGCGACCAATTTACTTGGATTATTTGTATACGTGTTGTGTCCTGTATTTAAGTGCAGATATGTCTATTTATTGTTCATTTTTAAATATCATTTCCGAAATTGTTTGCCCTATTCTTTCCATCTTTCCTTTACCTTTCTTGTACGTTTATTTTTGCTTGTTTTTGCTAGGCATTCTTGATTGGAGTGAGCGTTGTTTGTTGTTGATTCTCTTTTCTTGGTAAGCTTGAATGGATAGAGCCTTGTTGATCTAGGTAATGTGGGAAATTGAAGAACCACCTGGCTATGAACTGGTCCTTGGTTTACCATATACCCAGAATGTTTGAGAATTATCAACTCAACATAGCTCAGAAATTGCTGCAGGAATCGGATTTGTTTGGGTGGTGGGATCGATCGTCAACTGCCCTTCAGTAGGTCACTTTGCTAACAATATGATCATTTTACTTGTATGCTTTGCCTTTCAGAGGCTTTTGCATACTCTGAAATGGAAATTGTGCCTCAGTAATTTGTATATACCCGAATATTTTTTTACCTACCCTTCCAAAGCTTTTGATTTCTTTAATGTTCAATTACATGCAGATGCATAAATAAGGACTTTTTTGTTTGTTTGTTTGTTTGTTAGGTAAATGTTCACACGCACAATTGGGTGCCCACTACCAGGCTCAAACCCCTCACCCACCTCCCATTTTTCCCGAGGCTAATGGCCTAGTGGTTACATAAAGAGTAAATTACACTCTCCTCCCTTGAGGTTTTGTCAAATTACATACAAGTGGAGCATTTGGTGCTTATTACTTTGACTTCCTTTTAGGTTTGATGCATGTGTTCAACATTCCCTCTCCACTCAAGAATTGCTTATATAATACTTAAATTGCCCTTGTATTATTCAAAAAAGACATTAATAACCTTACAATTATATGCCAACCGCAAGAATACCATAGGTATATAATTGCATGGAGTTTACTAAATAAAATTTCAGTTTTTTGCTAATTAAATTTGAATTAATTTAAAAAACATTCCATTTACAAATTTATTATATTCAAATAAATTATTTGTTTTAAGTCAATTTTTGCCCCGCTGTTGCCTTCCTCCTCTTCCACTTCTCTCTCTAACCCTAAAATCTCCTCCATCTATTGTTAGCAGTCTGAAATCTCCCTCTTCCACTTCTCTCTCTAACAATCCCATCAACTCCACCCACTACCCTCAAGTCCCATAAATCCTACTTGTCAATTTCTTCAATGCTCATGGAAATCATGTATCAAGTTTAGTTTTAGCAAAATAAGAAGGGACCTAAAAATATTAAATATAAATTTTAATGGTGCATGTATAATTGGGCAGGTTTTCCAAACAGTTTTTAATTATTTTACCATACTTACCCCAAACCAAATTAGAGAGCTATCAAATCTGTAAAAGTGGAGAAAATATTGGGTACTGTGATGGGGAAATTGCCATCCCTACAATCATCATGTGGCCCAAAAGTGGAAAAATTATTGGGTAATGTGATAATATAGTGTTCAACAAGAATAAAGAGGTGATTATTTTCAATACAACTCAACAAGTCAAAAGTAGTCACTTAACTAGGCACGTGACGCCCAAAATTAAAATCGGAAATAAAACATATATAAAAAAATATATACATATGTACACATGCTTCGAAGCTTAAAAAATGGAAACAATCATCACGGGAACTCTAGATCGAAGCATGGCAACATTAAAATACGAAGGTGAAGTTCGAAAATTGAAAATAGGACCCAAAACTTACCCATAACGAAGAAAGAAGTGGTCCGAGAGAGAGGGGGAGTAGATCTAGGAGCGAGAAAGAGATTGGAAGCTTCGAAGATGTTACCGGAGGTGAGAGAGATGATGAATAGTGGTGGGAGAGAGATAAGGGTTGAGATTGATGTTGAAATCAATCTAAATGACCCTTGGGTCATATTTTTAAAAATGATCTCCAACATATTCGATCGATCACTAAGAAATTAGATCGATCGTACGCAGATCGATCTTGAAGAAACTCAGATCGATCTGACCCACAAAACAACGAAGTATTTTTGACAATTTTTGAATTTTTGAAAATAAAATAAAAATAAAATAAAATAAAATATTTTTGGATTTTCAAAAAGAAATCAAAGTCAGTCATGAAGCATTCTGATCGATTGAACATAGATTGATCAAAGCTCGATCGATCCAATAGGTGAAAACCCGCATGCACGTTCGATTGATACACAGAGAGGTTATTTTCCAAGGCTTCAAAATTTTTTCTAAGTATGGAATGAAGATCGATCCAAGGGAAAACTGGATCGATCTTGGAATTTTAGATCGATCAGAAATGAAGTTCGCACACGATACACAGAGAGTTGAAATGTGCAGGAAATTTTCTCACGATGGAACAGAGAGATGATTGGATGCAGAGATGATTGTTCGATTGATCGAACCTCTTTCGAGATCGATCGAACAGGCACAATATGCTTAATTTGAAACTGAAGGTGCAAGCATTCTCAATCAAAGTTCCTAACAATGTGTATGAACCTAGAACATATCTAGACCACGCAAGAAATGAAAGGTAAAATAGAAATGAGGGAGGAATAGGGTTGTAAACCCTACGAAACATTACTAGTGTTTAACGTCTCTAGCAAGACGTTGGGCTCTTTTAGCCCGGATTAAAAATCTTTTTTGACATCCCCTCTTTTACGGGGTGAAAGGCATTTTGAATCCTACCCAACAAATGGTTCCTTAGAGAACTTGTAGGATTTGACTCAAAAGAGATTGACGGTCCTTGGTCTATGCAATTTTTGGGCTTCCATGCCCTTGGAACACTTGCTTTTGAAACAACTTTCTTGGAAATCAAATTGGAAGGTGGATGTTTAGAAATTTCCATTTTCAAGCAAAAACTCATGGTTTTCAAGTTCATTGTCAATACACTTTTCCACAATACACACTTCTTCATGCTTATCCATTGAATTCGGGGTTTGGTTAAAGATGTTCAACTTCACTTTCATGTGGCCAAATGAGATTTTCCTTATCCCCGTCCAACAATCGATGTTGGCATTCAAAGTTGCCAAGAAGGGACGGCCAAGGATAACGTGAATTTGGCTCTTGGGATTTGGAACCGGTTCCGTGTCTATGACAACGAAATCAACGGGAAAGAAGAACTTATCAATCTTAATCAACACATCCTCAATAATACCCCGGGGCTTTTTGATGGATCGGTTGGCAAGTTGCAAAACTACCGACGTCGGTTTCAAGTCTCGTAAGCCCACTTTAACATACACTGAATATGGAAGAAAGTTAACACTAGCTCCTGAGTCTAAAAGAGCCCGATTGATGACATGGTCACCAATGATGCAAGAAGTAGTAAGTGAACCGGGGTCCTTAAACTTTGGGAGAGTGTTGTGTTGCAAAATGGAGCTCACTTGCTCGGTTAAGACCACTTTCCTTGGTGCTTGGCTTTTGTTCTTCCTCTTTTGGGTGCAAAGATCTTTCAAGAACTTGGTATAAGTCAGACTTTGTTTGATTGTATCCAAGAGTGGAAGATTGATCTTCACTTACCTAAACACTTCAATGATTTCATTTATTTTGGTCTTTTGTTTTTCAAAAGCAATGGATCCTTTCAAGGCATCCGAAAATGGAGCCTTTGGCTCAAAAACTTTTTCAAAATTTTTCTTTGAATCACTTTCAACACAAGAAGTTTTCAAATCCTTTTTTAAATCATAGTTCAATTCATTTTTCAATTCATTTTTCACAACTTTCTCAATAAGATGATCATGTACATGCAATGAAGGAGGAATAAAATGTGAAACGGGACGGGTGTCAACTTTTGGTTGCACCGGTTCATTCTCTTCATTTGATTCTCCAACTTGGTTATCAATAATTCTCCCACTTCTCAAGGTTGTCACCGCATTGACATGCTCAATTGTGTGACCTTCTAAGGAGGAATTGGTTTCCACAACAAATTGTTGCTTTAGTGGGGCATTTAGAGACATCTTCCCTTTCTCTCTAGCATTCAAAGTACTAGCTATTTGCCCGACTTGGGTTTCTAGCTTAGCAATGGATTGGGAATGAGAATGAGGCAATTAAGTGTTTGCCTCTAAAGTACCCAACGCGGTCAACACTTTCTCCTCAAAAGCGGAATCCTAGAATTTCCTTGAGAATACGATGATTGATTAGGAAAATGAGAGTTAGAAAATTGATTTCCTTGTGATGATTGAAAAGAAAATCAATAACCTTGGGAACCTTGGCTTTGCATTGGAGGCGGAATATACTTGTTTTGAAAACCACCTTGGGGTGGGTTTGAGCCTTCCCCTTGGCTTTTCCAAGAGAAGTTTGGATGGTTCCTCTACCCTGAATTATAATGTGTGCCATAGGGATTATTCCCTTGGTTGACAAAAACAGTATTTGTTTGTTCATGGTTCTCACTTTGCACATGTCCATGGGGATAATTGGAAGTAGAATGTAAGACACTAGAACAAGTCATGCAAGATTCATTAGACGCATGATGAATATGATGAGGGGAGGAAGGTACTTGATTCGCCGAATTTTGGTTGATCAAAAATTGATCAAACCTTTGAGATAAAGATTTCATCTCGGCGGCTATGTCATTGGAATTGTCAACTTGATATAAGCCGACATTCTTCCTTCCACCTAGATTTCTACCATTTTTTGAAGACAAGGATCTATGCATGGAATTTTCACTCATACTTTCATACAATTGCCAAACATCATTTTCATTTTTATCAAGATAAGAACCACCCATAGGTGCGTCTACCATTCCTTTTTGATTATCTGGCAAACTTTCAAAGTAGTATTGGTCAAATTACCACTTAGGAATGTCATGATATGGACACTTCCTAAGCAAGTCATTAAATCTTTCTTATGCCTCATGAAATAATTCCCCTTCCCCTTGAGAAAATTCACGAATGGAAGTTCTCATAGCATTGGTTTTGATACCAGATAATACTTTTTCAAGAACTCTTGTTGCATTTTTGCCCAAGAAGTTATTGAAAAAGGCCTAATATTGTTGAACCATTATTTTACCTTGTCCTTAAGGGTAAAAGGAAAATGTTTGAGTCTTAACACTTCTTTTGGCATGTCCGTGTATTTCACGGTGGAACACACTTCAAGAAACTCATCCAAATGCTTGTAAGGTTCTTTACTTGGAAGTCCATGATAGTTAGGAAGCATTTGAATGGTTTGCGGTTTGATTTCATAATGATGTGCCCTAAATGGGGGCAATTGAATGCATGCGGGTGCATTGTATTCATTCGGCACATAATGATCACGCAAAACAATTGGAGGATTCATAATTGGTGGTGCTACACGAACACCTTGGTTTACTTGAGCAATGGGAGGTGGGGGTGGAACAAAAATTGGTTAAGGCATTCTCAATGGAACTTGGCCTTGTTGTTGTGGTGGAATGAATGGTCTTGGCATGCCTAATGGTTTTTGGACATTGTCATGATGCACATGAGGGTGGAGGATGCCTTGTTGGTCTATGTGACCAAGGTCCTCCACATGGTCGTTATGTTGCTCCTCCATTAGTAAAATGGAGTGTTGAGAGCTACCCCTTCCCCTAGGATTACGAACAATGGATTCAAGATTCAAATTAAGAGGG